GGGGGCTTTTTCTTTTGATACTTACCTCTCTTATGGCCACGACACTCTTCTAGACTAATAAAAGTTTCTGAATCAGCCATGTAGAGAACTGTCTGTGGTAAGATATGAACATTCTGTAAAGAAAACAAAAAATCAAATTGAATCCCATAATCTGTGACCACTTTCATGGTATCTCCCTGGTCCAAACTACTGATGCCCCCCCTACCTTCCCTTCCTTTAGGACAATGTTTGGTTCCGAGTTTGTCTACTTCTCATTCTTCACTCTAGCCCTTGCATTTTAAGATCATTTTACTGAGCACCTAATTACTTCTTGAAGTCAAATCCATCCCAGCCCTCAAGTTCATTTTTATAATGGTAATTTAAGCTCTTAAGTACCAGCAAAAGATGCCACCTGCTTTAACAGAAACCTTTCACCAGACAGAAGGTGCGATGCTGCTCTATTACTCCTCTCCTTGCTGCCTAGCATGTCAAATAGTCCAGGCTTTCCTCATATCTAGCCCCACCTTCAAGCTTCCTTGAAGGCCCTTAGTTTCTTATTATCAGACATGCCCATTTCCCCAGGTCCCCTGCATCTCTCTTCCTGTCTTAGTCTGCTCCTAGATTCTCTCAGTACTTGGGATCCTTATTTGTGTCCTATTTCCTCTACAAGCAGGGCTTGCTTATTCATATTCATTGATTTTTCACTAAACTTCACATTACAGACATGGTTGAATTAAAAAAAGGATGAAGATATTTTCCTTTTTGTGTGTGTGTGAAAACCATCAGAATAAAATACTCAGTTTATAATAAAGTTTCATTATTGGTCAGATGGGGAAAAAAGTTGATTCATTATAATTTGGTAAGTTCAGAGTAGATTCCAGATAGATAAACTTATAAGATACTAAGCATGATGACCAGTGGTAGCCTCCAGGCTGGATATAACCTATAAATATACATTCGTTGCCAAAATTTAAAATTCCACAAAATTTCTGGATAAAATGAGGGTTTCCACATTCTTTTGAAAATCAGAGCATTCTAACAACACAGACTGCATGCCTCCTGACAAAAAGACCTGCTATGGCCTTACTACTCCTCTGAGCCACTACTCCACTTTAGCTGCCTTTCTGGCCGTCAGGGCATTTCAGTCTGTGATACCTAGGAAAAGGCCCAAGAGGGTTAGGGCTTAGTACCGCCTCTGCCATATGCCAGCAGAATAACCCTCACAAAGTTTTTAGGCTTCAAGTTTTCTATTCTTAGACAAATATTTGAAGTCTAGTTCTGAGATGTTATGATTCTGTCTTTTTTAGTCCCCCTGAAAAGCAACTGCTGAATTTCCCTAATTCTTATATAAAAATAATGCCTGCCATGGTAAAAAACTGAAAACCACACAAAGTTTAAAAAAGCATGGAAAAAAAAAATCTCAATTCTAATCCCAAAGGAAACTTATGCTAACATTTTGGAGCTTATTACTCTTCCCTTTTTGTTTTTAATAATACAGATTAACTAAACATAATTTGTAATCTGTGTTTTTCACTTTCATTAACATTTTGTTTTATCATTAAATGAACCTTAAAGTTCATCACGTAATGACTTCATTTATTAGATTAACATTAGGTTGTTTTTAATTTCCTGCATTATAAATGAAGCTCCAAAGAACATTTCTGTGGAAAAGTTTTTACTTGAACTTCCAAGTTTTTCCAAACAACAAACCTGGAAAGAGCAGGATTTGGACCAAAGTATCAGAAAAGAAAATTTTCCAACAAGTCTGCCTTTGTACACTGACCAGCTCCCTGGGTCTGGGTCCCAGAGCCCAAAAAGTTAAGGTGAAAATTGACACAAAGAAACAGGAAACAGGGGCTGGGGTTGTGGCTTAGCAGTAGAGCACTTGCCTCTTACTTGTGAGACCCTGGGTTTGATCCTCAGCACCACATAAAAATAAATAAACAAAATAAAGATACTGTGCCCATGTATAACTAAAAAAAATATTAAAAAAAAAAAAAGAAAGAAAGAAACCGGAAACAGACCATCAGTCACATATGGGGCACTCATCTGCTATCTAAATATAATAAGAAAGATGAGAGCCAAGTTTTTCATTGTCCAAAAGGGAGGTACAAATATGAGCAGAAAGATAGAAAGAATCCTATGTTGGATTATGTGCCAGGTGAGTGGTGCATGCCTGTAATCCCAGCAATTCAGGAGGTTTTGAGGCAGGACTATCACAACTTGGAGACCAGCCCCAGCAACTCAGAAACCCTCAGCAACTGAGTGAGACCCCGTCTCAAAGTAAAAAATAAAAAGGACTTGGGATGTAGCTCAGTGGCAATACACCCCTAGGTTCAATCCCCAGTTCCACCATCCAAAAAAAAGAGAAACTCATGAGTTTCCAGATATAGATGGATAGAAATATGGTTATAAATGGGCAAGAGATGTATATACATACATAGGCATGTTACATTCGGCACCCACATCTGTGAGTTCTGAGTTCAGGGATACCAATCGTGGTTGAAAAATACTCAAGAGAAAAAAGTTAATCTGTACTGCACATGCACAAAATTTTCATTATTCTCTAACATTATTTTCATTATTCTCTAACAATACAGTATAAACTATGTGGTATTTCCATTGTATTGGGTATTAAGTAATCTGAAGATTACTGAAAATATAGACGGATATACATAGGTTATCTGCAAATACTATATCCTTTACATAACGAACTTGAGTATCCAAGGATTTCCAAATGTGGATGGTGGGGAGTAGGGATGGGGTTGTCCTAGAACCAATACACAGTAGATCCAAAGGGATGACTATAGATACATATATACACTCCTTGGTTCTGTCCACTGACTGGGCTTTAAAGCAGTAAATCTCTCAAGAGCTAAGAGTACACTTAAAGTCCAGATTTTAGCTTCTAAATACCATTCTCCACTTAAAGGAACCAGGGCTTCTTGGAGAAATCATCAATCTTAGGACTGAAGCAGACAGCACTTAACAAGCTTAAACCACATTGTGCCAGAAACCAGGCAAGTGTTCAAAGATGATGGAGTCATCTCTGGAAGACAATGAAGACAGCCTGAAGGGGCTCCCACTCATCAAACTGGGGATAATTTGAACACCAATATAAATACTGATAGTAACAGATATACCCTTGAATAACAGACCAAGAGTATTTACAAATATAAGTGATTAAACTGAAAGAGGACTCAAACAGTTTCAAAGTATTTCTCCACAAAACACTCATTACAGCAGGAAACTAATTTTACAGTAAAGACACCTGACAGATACCAAGCAAATCAAGTAATTTAAGATAATCTCCTCAGTAATGAGACAAATGAAAGCCATATGCTACCTGAAAGAAGGCCATGAGAAGAGCAAACATCACTTCTGTGCAGTTCTTGCCAAAGAAACATAATCTGAATTGAATAAACCTCAGACATAACCAGTTTATGTATGCTCTACAAAACAACTAGCTTCTAATATTCCTAAGTATCAAGATTGGGAAAGTCAAGAAAAGCTTGAGAAACTGTTCCAGACCAAAGAATCTGAACTTTATTTAAAGTGACTGATTGGTAAAAGAATTCCCCACTGAATCCTTTTGTTATGAAGAACATTACTGGGGCAACTGACAAACTGAATGGAGTCTGAGGCTATCTGATGGAAAAAAATAGATCAACTACAGTTTCCTGATTTTGATGGCTGCGTTGTGATTATGTAGAATTTTCTTGTTTGTACATTATACATACTCAAGTACAGAGAGTGATTAGAGTATCAGGTTGACAATTTACTCTCAAAGGGCTCTCTTTCACACCCTAGTGAGATATCAATCTCACTGTCTAACTTCACAGTCCTCGTTTTTACCTCCCACTTACTGGCGCACCTTTTGAAAAGGGGGCCCAGAGATAGTAAGTAGTACAGGGCAGGCGTTGAAATACTTGGGAATAAGTTTTGTTTCTTGGCTTTCCAGTGTGTAGCATTGAGCAAGAGACACTCAATTGCATTACCTGCAAAACAGAGACGAAAACCACTTGCTTCAAGGGAAAGGGTCTGTGAAGCTTTCTTAGAATAGCTAACATCTGATGAATAGTCAAATAAATTACCGTTACCATACAGTCACTAAAGCTATCGTTTATTACATAAGGCTTTTCACTGGCACAAGAAAATGTTCTTCAACAAAAACAAGGACACATACAATACTGGGATTTTTAAATTTCAATTCCCAAAGGCTGACCCACCAACCCTGCAACTGACTGCAGACACCCCTTCTTACTTGCCTCAAGCTCCTCTGCTACCACGCGGACCAAGCAATGCCCCTCCAGGTGGCCGGCCTCCGCCAGGCCCGCGGAGATCCAGGTCACACTTCGATGGGTCCGCAACACTCTGCGAACACACTCCCTCCACAAGCGGCACACACTGGGAACGCAAATGCACAAAAGGTCGTAGGCATTCACCTCTTCCGTGGCTCAAAGACCGCCCCCCACCCACCCGCTAGCGTGGCAGCTGGAGATCCCTGCAGGATCCAACGTCCGCAGGTGAGGTAGGTGTGTGGGTACTGGTTCGGCCAAAGAGCCGAACGTGGAAAAAAACCTCAGGGGGAACTTCGCACTCAGAAAAGTTCCCGGAACACTACAGCAAGGGCACTTCATAGGTGGGGGTTGCCTCAGGACGGACGTGGGAGCTCTTAAGTCCCGAAGGTTTCTTCCCACCACGCCAGCCCGGGGAATGCCCACAGGTCAGCTTCCCGCCTCCCCCTCTCCTCACCCAGCCACCCGCAGCAACGCCTTGGCGGGCAGGAAGGTGAGCACACGCTCCACCACCTCCGCTAGGTTACTCAACACAAAGGTGCTCCGAGGGTCTGCGGAGGAGGAGCCGCAGCGGTCGCCGCCACCGCCCACCGGCTCCATTCCTCGCCAACCCGCTCGCACAAGCACTACGGCGGCTCGGAGGCACCTGGCTAGGCCGGCGTACGATTCCACGGTAAGCGCACACTGCGCAGGCGCAGGCGCCACTTCCGGTCGGCCAGGCAATGGAAGGGACGCTGCGAAGGCTTCTGCGTGACCTTTGGCCGCTGGGTTTCCGGCGCAGGAGTTAAGAACGCTCGTCTGTACTGGAATGTTGTGGGTGGGCGTCTTCTGGTGCTCCGAACTTCCTCCTGCAGTAGAAACGAGTTCTCTTCTGAACCTCACTGTACTTGGAGCTGCTGTATTTTGCCAGTTCACATCTTCGTCTAATTCGTGAGTTCCTTTAGTGTAGGAACTAGGCAGTATTTATTGGTCTTTATAAAATCCTTGTTTAGCATGATCCCCAACTTTTGGCAAGATACATTTTTAAAAAATTACTGTGAAAAATCGCCGCCTTTACTCAGCGCCTAGTGAAAGTAGTTAGTTTGTAGTCTTTTTAGTTTTGCGTAAGCCGGCATTAGTAGTACCTCCTTTTGTAAGGTGGCCAATAATTACAGGGGAATCTCGCCCTAAACTATGCACCGTTTCTCCGCCTGTAGCATCCATCATTCACCTGGGAACTATTGTTTTAGCATGTTCTCTTTACCTCAGGTTACTAAATCGCCACAGCATTATGTGTTTCAACAAACTTTGTGTCAATTCTAATGGATGCTGAGGAAGAGAACCACAACAGAAGGAATGGGAGTAGACCTGTTAATATCCATTCCAACAGCGCTCTTCCTAGCTAAGGCATCCGTGATTTGACTCCCAGCTAGAGTGTGAAATTGGATGATCTAAACTAGTGGTTCTCTTTTTGGCCTCCAGGACCTTTACACACTTAAATATTGACACCAAATTAAACATTTTAAAATAATTCTATGTATTAAGATAATTTAAGTGAAAACTGACTTCCAAATCTCCCTCCCCCCAGTAGTAAATAATGTGATATCATTTTACACTTTGAAAATCTGATTACTGGCTTAACAGGAAATGTGGATTGTAGACTCTGGAAAACTCCACCGTCCTTTCAGAATGAATGAAAACGGCAAAATGTTTTTATGTTAGGAAAGTAGTTTTGACCTTAAAAGCCTCCAAATAAAAGGTCTCCAGGATCTCTGAAATTTGAAAACCATTAGTCCAAACTAATCAGGATGGTTTTATTCTTTCCACCATCCACTGGTTTAGGGGTGGGCACTAGGAAAATTAAAGAGGCAGTGTTCTTGGTGGAGTGGGACTTCTAAAGATTTCCTCATCTCCTAAGGAGACACTCAGAAAGGAGCGTTATCTAACCCAATACCAAGTAAGGCGTGACTGCAAGTCCAGACATGACATTCAATCCAAAGATGAAACTGGCACAGAAAAATCTCAAGCAGAGTATTGCCCAGATAAACTGAGCCTACAGTTGTCCTACCTCTGAACGTCTTATGAGATAACCTGACAATTGTGTAAAAGGAGGCCATAGGTACATAAAAGGAGAAACAGATTATTTAAACTAGGGAAATTAAAGACAGCCATGAAGAAAATGACAGCTGAGTGTGGATAAGGGAAAAGATTGAGGGAAAACTGAGGATACCAGGCATGTACACAGTTTCTAAGTTCTCTAGCTTTCTAGTTTTAAAGTCAATCTGCCTCTCTTCCTCTCAAGCCTCCCCACATCCCATCCCTCTTTAAATACCCTATTCCAGAAATTCAATAGAGGCTACCTGAAGCATACCTAAAGCACTGTATCTCTTATGAGGGAAAGGTGACAAAGTAATTTTTGAATGGTTCTTTATTCATAAACTTGATGCAAGTTTACAAAATTTACTGTACATTGCCAAATAAATCTGCAATGAAAAATAAAATCCAAAAAACAAAGCATGCCAAATGTGCAGCTGTCAATCTGCTAGCCATCAGGATATTAAAGAATTCAATAATGTATTCAAGATTTAGCCTTAGGCTTAAGGAACTTTAATGCTTTAAAGAATTCTGCCTTGTCACTTGTTATCTGAGCAGCTGGCAATCAGAGCTTTATATAAATTTAAAGTGAGCAAGAATGCCAGAACATCTTTATCTACTGTCCTAACCAAAATAAAATCAAAAGAAACACAATAATGCATAAGTGCCAAATCTCTCAGATACGGTTTACAAAGTTAAAAACAATCTTAAAGCAAATACATAAGGAATGTGTTTCAACTTTGTAACTGGTTTGTGCAGAAAAATGTGCTTCTGGGTTTCTTTTAAAAGTGCTTAATAACTAGAATTTATTTTTAAATCAAACTTGGGTTTATTAAAAAAAAAAAATCTCTCACCACCCAAACAGGACTGATTCATGTAAGGCAGTAAAATGGAGAGTACATTGATTTGAGTCAGGTTGTACAAAAGAATTACGAGTTCCTATTAGTCTTTTGGTTGTAAAAGCCATTGTCATGACAACAAAGAGTCTCCAAATCAGGTATATTTTTGTACTTAACTATATAGCTTTTTGCTCAAGGAAGTCTGTTTTCATGCCAATCACTTTATAAGTTTATTAGTTTACAAATCATTGCAACATCCCGTTAATAAAATGGAAAGGTAAAATGACTTAGTATTTTAAATAACTTCAAGCTCTATATTGTGGCTCTTTTTTGTAAGAAATATTGAACCAAAAGAAACCGATTCAGCTCAGCAAGACTCTGCTGCCCCAGTGGAAATTACTACTCAACAAACCTTAAGTGGCATTGCCTTAATTTGCTTTGCCTAAAACGTACAATTCAAGTAAGAGCATATCTTCAGGAAACAGTTCATATCTTCACACAGCCATAAAAAAGTTTAACAATTTAATGAGTAAATTTCCTGTCATTACGTTGGCAATATCATAAAATGGTTTTAGACCTTAAAAGGCCGTGGTTTAGAAGCCTTAAAATTTTCTAAACCAATTGAACATTGATTAAACTTCTAATGGCTCTAAATGGAACAGTATATTGCAAATCCTCAAAACCCATGGACTCAATATAGGAAAGCTACTGCCAAGTCGCAACCACAGTAACCTGATGCTGACTTGCCTGCTTAAAAGATTTCACTTTTCAAGAAAAAGAGATAAGGAGTGGCCAGTAAGTGTATTTATCAGGAAAATACAGTAAAGGCCCCACTGCTCAGTCCAAGATAACTGAAGTGAGCAAAATGAAAAGGCTGTAACTTATACTCGATGTCAGTTGACAGATTATCCACTAAAATATCTATTAGCTAACATCTTCGGTACTGCTGTTATAGGGGCACTCAAAGCTTGTATCTGCATGTTGGAAAGATTTTCTTTAAAGCAACATTGGTCCAAACATATGAGAGTCAACATATTTAGCCATCTTCCTTTGGAGGAGTGTACCAGCCTGAAATAAAATGGAAAAAAAAGTTAAAACACTTTAATCCTTAAGCCAACTAGGAGAGCTGGCATTTAAGGTTAGGCAGAGTCTCTACTTCAAAAATTTGGTGTTTAAACCTACTGTAAAAATTACACTGAATTAACACAGCATTTTGTATTCACAACATCAAGTTATTTTCTATGCATAAATTGTACTTGAGTTTACAGCATAAGATCTCTGTTATTAATGGTATCCCTAGCTAAAGACAACAGTGTGTAATAGTAGATCGCATGTTAGGTTTACTTTCAAATACAAAGGTGAAATGAAAACCTAACTGATATTACTATCCAAAAGCAAATTTCAAATAAGAGGAAATTGAAAATCATCAGTGTAATGATACTATTTTACAAATGAAGAAGCCTCAAAGAAGATGCAGTAACCAAGTGAATAGTAACAGAACCAAAACAGAATTCATCTCTATGTCCTGCATTACATGGTAACTATGTTAATACATGTATTCTTTTTTTTTTTTTAAATATTTATTTATTTTTAGTTATCGGCAGACATAACATCTTTGTTTGTATGTGGTGCTGAGGATCGAACCCGGGCCGCACGCATGCCAGGCAAGCGCACTACCACTTGAGCCACATCCCCAGCCCCAATACATGTATTATTGAAAAATACTAAAAGTGCAGGTAAGCATTCTCACCATAAAAATTATAGGTAATGTGTTAATTAGCCAGATTTAGTTATTCAATGTGTGTATGTATATATATATACATATTTATGTCAAAACACATACAAAATAAATAATTGTATCTGTCAACTTAAATAAATGAAAAATATGTACATATTTAGAAACAAAACTAGAATCCAAATAATAACCCTAAATGTTAATGGCTTAAACTCACCAATTAAGAGACACAGGCTAGTAGAATGGATCACAAAACAAGACCCAACAATATGCTGCCTACAGGAGACGCATTTGATAGGAAAAGACATACATAGGCTGAAGGTGAAAGGTTGGGAAAAATCATATCACTCATATGGACTTCGGAAACAAGCAGGCGTGTCCATACTCATATCAAATAAAATAGATTTCAAGCCAAAGTTAATCAAAAGAGATAAAGAGGGACACTACATACTGCTTAAGGGAACCATACACCAACAAGACATAACAATCATAAATATTTATGCCCCAAACAATGGTGCAGCTATGTTCGTCAAACAAACTCTTCTCAAGTTCAAGAGTCTAATAGACCACCACACCATAATCATGGGAGACTTCAACACACCTCTCTCGCCACTGGACAGATCTTCCAAACAAAAGTTGAATAAGGAAACTATAGAACTCAATAACACTATTAATAACCTAGACCTAATTGACATATATAGAGTATACCACCCAACATCAAGCAGTTACACTTTTTTCTCAGCAGCACATGGATCCTTCTCAAAAATAGATCATATATTATGTCACAGGGCAACTCTTAGACAATATAAAGGAGTAGAGATATTACCATGCATCTTATCTGATCATAATGGAATGAAACTGAAAATCAACGATAAAAGAAGGAAGGAAAAAGCATACATCAATTGGAGAATGAACAATAGGTTACTGAATGATCAATGGGTTATAGAAGACATCAAGGAGGAAATTAAAAAATTCTTAGAGATAAATGAAAACACAGACACAACATATCGGAATCTATGGGACACATTGAAAGCAGTTCTAAGAGGAAAATTCATTGCTTGGAGTTCATTCCTTAAAAAAAGAAAAAACCAACAAATAAATGATCTCATACTTCATCTCAAAATCCTTGAAAAAGAAGAGCAAAACAACAGCAAAAGAAGTAGAAGGCAAGAAATAATTAAAATCAGAGCTGAAATTAATGAAATCGAAACAAAAGAAACAATTGAAAAAATTGACAAAACTAAAAGTTGGTTCTTTGAAAAAATAAACAAAATCGACAGACCCTTAGCGATGCTAGTGAAGAGAAGAAGAGAGAGAACTCAAATTACTAGCATACGGGATGAAAAAGGCAATATCACAACAGACACTTCAGAAATACAGAAGATAATCAAAAACTATTTTGAATCCTTATACTCCAATAAATTAGAAGATAGTGAAGGCATAGATAAATTTCTTAAGTCATATGATCTGCCCAGATTGAGTCAGGAGGATATAGACAACCTAAACAGACCAATATCAATTGAGGAGATAGAAGAAACCATAAAAAGACTACCAACTAAGAAAAGCCCAGGTCCCGATGGGTATACAGCAGAATTTTACAAAACCTTTAAAGAAGAACTAATACCAATACTTTTCAAGCTACTTCAGGAAATAGAAAAGGAGGGAGAACTTCCAAATTCATTCTATGAGGCCAACATCACCCTGATACCTAAACCAGACAAAGACACTTCAAAGAAAGAAAACTACAGACCAATATCTCTAATGAACCTAGATGCAAAAATCCTCAATAAAATTCTGGCGAATCGGATACAAAAACATATAAAAAAAATTGTACACCATGATCAAGTAGGATTCATCCCTGGGATGCAAGGCTGGTTCAATATACGGAAATCAATAAATGTTATTCACCACATCAATAGACTTAAAAATAAGAACCATATGATCATCTCGATAGATGCGGAAAAAGCATTTGACAAAGTACAGCATCCCTTTATGTTCAAAACTCTAGAAAAACTAGGGATAACAGGAACATACCTCAATATTGTAAAAGCAATCTATGCTAAGCCTCAGGCTAGCATTATTCTGAATGGAGAAAAACTGAAGGCATTCCCTCTAAAATCTGGAACAAGACAGGGATGCCCTCTCTCTCCACTTCTCTTCAACATAGTTCTCGAAACACTGGCCAGAGCAATTAGACAGACGAAAGAAATTAAAGGCATAAAAATAGGAAAAGAAGAAATTAAATTATCACTATTTGCAGATGATATGATTCTATATCTAGCAGACCCAAAAGGCTCTACAAAGAAACTATTAGAGCTAATAAATGAATTCAGCAAAGTGGCAGGATTTAAAATCAACACGCATAAATCAAAGGCATTCCTGTATATCAGCGACAAATCCTCTGAAATGGAAATGAGGACAACCACTCCATTCAAAATATCTTCAAAAAAAATAAAATACTTGGGAATCAACCTAACAAAAGAGGTGAAAGACTTATACAATGAAAACTACAGAACCCTAAAGAGAGAAATAGAAGAAGATCTTAGAAGATGGAAAAATATACCCTGTTCATGGATAGGCAGAACTAACATCATCAAAATGGCGATATTACCAAAAGTTCTCTATAGGTTTAATGCAATGCCAATCAAAATCCCAATGGCATTTCTTGTAGAAATAGAGAAAGCAATCATGAAATTCATATGGAAAAATAAAAGACCCAGAATAGCAAAAACAATGCTAAGCAAGAAGTGTGAATCAGGCGGTATAGCGATACCAGACTTCAAACTATACTACAGAGCAATAGTAACAAAAACAGCATGGTACTGGTACCAAAACAGGCGTGTGGACCAATGGTACAGAATAGAGGACACAGAAACCAATCCACAAAACTACAACTATCTTATATTTGATAAAGGGGCTAAAAGCATGCAATGGAGGAAGGATAGCATCTTCAACAAATGGTGCTGGGAAAACTGGAAATCCTTATGCAACAAAATGAAACTGAATCCCTTTCTCTCGCCATGCACAAAAGTGAATTCAAAATGGATCAAGGAACTTGATATCAAATCAGAGACGCGCCGTCTGATAGAAGAAAAAGTTGGCTACGATCTACAGTCGGTGGGGTCGGGCTCCAAATTCCTCAATAGGACACCCATAGCACAAAAGTTAATAACTAGAATCAACAAATGGGACTTACTCAAACTAAGAAGTTTTTTCTCAGCAAAAGAAACAATAAGAGAGGTAAATAGGGAGCCTACATCCTGGGAACAAATCTTTACTCCTCACACTTCAGATAGAGCCCTAATATCCAGAGTATACAAAGAACTCAAAAAATTAGACAATAAGAGAACAAACAACCCAATCAACAAATGGGCCAAGGACCTGAACAGACACTTCTCAGAGGAGGACATACAGTCAATCAACAAGTACATGAAAAAATGCTCAACATCTCTAGCTGTCAGAGAAATGCAAATCAAAACCACCCTAAGATACCATCTCACTCCAGTAAGATTGGCAGCCATTAGGAAGTCAAACAACAACAAGTGCTGGCGAGGATGTGGGGAAAAGGGTACACTTGTACATTGCTGGTGGGACTGCAGATTGGTGCAGCCAATTTGGAAAGCAGTATGGAGATTTCTTGGAAAGCTGGGAATGGAGCCACCATTTGACCCAGCTATTCCCCTTCTTGGTCTATTCCCTAAAGACCTAAAAAGAGCATGCTACAGGGACACTGCTACATCGATGTTCATAGCAGCACAGTTCACAATAGCAAGACTGTGGAACCAACCTAGATGCCCTTCAATAGACGAATGGATAAAAAAAATGTGGCATTTATACACAATGGAGTATTACTCTGCATTAAAAAATGACAAAATCATAGAATTTACAGGGAAATGGATGGCATTAGAGCAGATTATGCTAAGTGAAGCTAGCCAATCCCTAAAAAACAAATGCCAAATGTCTTCTTTGATATAAGGAAAGTAACTAAGAACAGAGTAGGGACGAAGAACAGGAGAAGAAGATTAACATTTAACAGGGATGAGAGGTGGGAGGGAAAGGGAGAGAGAAGGTAAATTGCACGGTAATGGAAGGAGACCCTCAGGGTTATACAGTGGAGGGGGTAGAGAGAGAGGAGGGGAGGGGAGGGGAGAGGTGGGGAGGGGGGAGGGTGGATGATGGGAAAGGCAGCGGAGCACAACAGACACTAGTATGGCAATTTGTAAATCAATGGATGTGTAACTGATGTGAATCCACAATCTGTGTATGGGGTGAAGGTGGGAGTTCATAACCCACTAGAATCAAAGTGTGGAATATGATATGTCAAGAAATTTGTAATGTTTTGAACAACCCACAATAAAAAATTAAAAAAAAAAAAAAAAAAAAAAACTAGAATCCATCTCTCCTAATTCTGAATCTCTTGCTCTTTCATCATAGCTAAGTTTACATACACACACACACAGCAAGTTCTGTAAATGTATTTAAATGCCACTTATAATGTTTAAGATAAAATGAAAGATAAGAAAAAATGTGATCATTCCCAGGCTCCACAAAAATCTAACCTCCCTATAGAAAGGCAAATTAGACCAAGTACTATTTGGTATAAAACTGTCATTGAAACAACCAAGATTTGTGGGGCAGCTACATGATTCTGAAGTAGTAGTGGTTTTGGATCTACTCATTGCGGGGCACTAGAAATGATCATTAGGAAAACCTGGTCTTGTCCTGAAGGTCATCATCATCTTACTCATAAGCTTGAAAATTATTTTGAATATTACTTCCAGAAGCAAGCAATCACTAAAAAAGTGACAAGTTTGTCATTAAAATAAAAGTGAGTGTAAAACACAAATCCTTACAAACTACCCTATCTCTAGCAAAGTAAAGAATATTTACTACAAACTCTCCTCTTTAAGGAAAACTACTTCCTGTTATTTATTTGGCACAAAAGGGTCACCGTGCAGTGTGTCACTACTATGACGAGTGTGTTTATTAGCACTTGCTTAC